GTTAGATGAACACGTAGCAAGTCTTTAGTTAGGTGTTATAGAGTCAGGCTCAACTCCTGGTGATTGCATGGACTGAAATCACCATGTTCTTCCAGGGACCTTCCAATACAGACACCCTTTTTTCTTTTTGACAGCCTCTTCTTTCTTCTAAGCAGCTGACTACAGGAAAAGGAGAACACATCTCTTACTAAAGATAGAACCTGATCTCCTGCAGAGAGTTTTGAAATTAGCTTTAGGATTTCATTAAGTGAGTCAATTTGCCCACACCACATTAGCACACTGCAATGCAGATGTTCAGCCACTATTTCACATGCAGTTAAGCCATCTCTTTCCTTGAAGCATGAAAATCATGGAACACTTTGTATTGAAGTTCTATAATTGTGCTTTCCTTCTTTCCTCAGCCCTTACTTGCCCAGGCAACAGCCACTACGAGCTATGTACCAGGTCCTGTGATCTTACCTGTGCAGGTCTATCTTCTCCCACTCAGTGTACTAAGAAATGCTTTGAAGGCTGCCAGTGTAATGATGGCTATGTTTCTGATGGGGAAAAGTGCACATCCATAGATAATTGTGGCTGTGTACATGATGGGCGCTACATGAAGGTAGGTGCCAGAACTGTTCTTAGCTGTTTCATGAGTTTGCAGAGCTATTGTGGTGCCAAGAGAAGAAGAACCAGAAGCTCTTCTGGTCTGATGCACACGGGGGTACGGTAAAAACACTGAACTGAGATGCTTGCAAAATGAGTAAGCCAGCATTTCCTGCTTGCAATCTACTTGTCCTATAGTTTGAGAATCTGTAGTTGCCTCATCCTTCCTTTGCCTATGCATGGTGACGGGCCACAAGTCTTAGAATATGCAAAAGGTCAATAATGCTCTAATAATAAGAGGGACTTCTTTTTCCAAGTGGAATTCGACCCAGAGATTGCCACATTCTGGATAGAAAAGGTGGATCCAGAGTTAGGGTAATGGAGGAGGGGTGCAGAGGAGCATCGCTGGAAATATTTCTTGAACATGCCAAGAAAAAACGTCTCTGTTTAGATGGAAATGCCATTCTTTTAAGGATGTAAGATTGAATGTCAGCTTTTGCAACAATAAGTTGAAATCTCCATGTCCATTTGAACAGAGTTTTTAAAAGAATCCTTTCCAGAACATTGGTATTTATTTTTGTTTGGCAATGTTCTGCCATAGGCTGAAGAGACCATTAACTCCAGGGATTGTTCAGAAAAATGCACCTGCCATACACCAGGCCAGCTTGCCTGCAATAAAACCAGCTGCCTAAAAGGGGAGGTTTGTGTACTTCAAAATGGCAGACGCGGTTGTGTCAAGCAGGAAGCTCAATGCAACCTCACCTCAGAAGCACAGCTGACCACCTTTGATGGTGTCTCTGGGACAATACTTTATGATGGTGCCTATGTGATGGCCTCTCTCTGTGACAAAACAGCCCAGACATGGTTCCGGCTAGTGGTGGATCTCAGGGGCTGCAGTGGTGGTGAAATAAACTCTGGTTCTGCAGTCTACTTCTTCTTCCGAGAGGCTGTTCTTGCTATCAACCAAGAAAAGGAAGTTTGGGTAAGAGATGCTGAGTTGTTATATTTTGTTATGTTTTTGTTATGTTATGTTTTACTTGCAAGATTGATGTCAGCCTTACCAGATAGACCAGACAAGAAACATAGCCAGACAAGCTAATTCTACTTTATTGTAAAGCTACATTAACAGAATCTTGCAAGGCTGAAAACACTTCTCTCCCCCTGCCCCCTTTACGGCCTAAGAAGTTAGGGAGGGTCCCTTCTGAGCCTCTTGCTGCACCCGCTATGCAGCTATGGGCTAGGCTGTCTCTTATCTTCCCTTTCCCTAGGCAGCATCTCTTTGCCTGGTCTCCCAAGGTCATTCCCACATACCATTACAGTAAGAAATGCTGAGTTGATATATTTTGTTATGAAGGTTTTTGGTGCTATAAGCAAAGAAGACTTGTGAGAGAATTAAACACCTTCACTGAACTTGGATTTTGTCCCTAAGTTTATACCCCAGCCTATTATTTATTTCATTTGATTCCTTTAAATCATTTATATGGCTGCCCATCTCACAACAGTGACTCTGGGTGGTGTACAAAGATTAAAACCCAACAATTAAAACAATAATTCATGGCGCCTCTGGTCAATGACACCTTCCAATCATGATGTTTACCTGAAGAAGAGAACTGTCCTACTTTAAAGGTAAGTGCTTTTCAATTGTGGTGTGACTTTTGCTGCTAAGGGGAAGTCTTTCCCTAGAGAAAGTGCTAGAGACGTTTGCCTTTTTGTGAAGAAAGTTAGAATAATCAATCCCTGCCCATAAATTTGGTGGAGAATTCTGGAAATGCTGATTATGTCCACTTCTAATTTGTTTTTCCCTTATTTTTTTTGAGGAGGGGGGAGTTTTAAAACTGCATTATGCCTAGTTTAGGACTTACACATCATGTTTGGGTTATTTCCTGTCACAAAGCAGCAGTCATAGAGGGATTCTGAAGGGGGCAGAAAAGGAGTCCCTGGGGTCACAACGCCCCATCCCTGAGTTAAACCAACGCAGCTTCCCTTAAATTTTTCCACTAAATTTTAAATGAAATAGTGTAAAATCCAGCTGAATATGAATTCACTTTGTTGATTAAAGTGTGTTAACAAAGAAAATTCATTAAATCTTCTGTTTTTTCAGATAGGCATTCTTACAGGGGAGCCATTTTTAATTTCATACAATTCATGTCTTTCCACTCCTTCTGTTCACTCTCACCTCTTACCTCTGAAACAAACACTGGGGAAAATGCTGGTTAACCTTACCATAACCCACCTCTGATTAGACCATTCCCTCAGCTTTGAACTCTGATCTTCCATTTGCAGATGGACGCATTTCAATAAACTAAACATGTGCCATGATCACTTTTTGTTCAGGTCAATGGGCAGCTGGTGGACCTCCCAGTTTCCCTTTCTAAAACTGTGTCTGTAAGTATCTTGGAAGACGTTGTTACAATTAGTCATGGGAAGGCTCTTCAGGTTCTCTTTGGCCTCAAAGGAGAAGTGACCGTGAAGGCCAAAGACAGCTTGGCAGGCAAGCTGTGTGGATCCTGCAGAAACTTCAATGGTGACATCTCTGATGATCTTATGCTACCCAATGGAAAAGTTGTGGGGGACATTTCTGAGATGATTGATGCATGGAAGGCCAGAGACTTCATCAGCTGGTGAGTTAATGCTTCAATCATTCATTCTCTAATTTAGGAGTGCACAGCTGGAATGCTTTTTCTTGTCCAGAACTGTGTTCCCATTGAGATAATCTGCTGAGAATACATGCTAGCAGTGAATAGAGCCAAAGACAAAGGTCAAAGTGGACAGAGCCAAATATGGGTAGAGGCAACTCTCTCTCTCTCTCTGCCAATCTCTTTCTTTCCCCCCTGCTCTCCCCATCCAGCAGCCTGTCAGATTCTTCCTGCAAAAGGCCAGAAGATAGAGATGGAGGTGGAGATTTATTTGCAAGGGGCTTTTGGAACTTAGCCAGAATGGAGGCAGTTTTCCCATCCTTGCTTTATGCTACCAATTTATTTGTGCTTGTAGCGGTAGACCAATCTTCTCAATTAGAAATAGCCAGAAGGCACAGTCTGTCACGCCAGCATCCCACAAGGAGCCTACAACAATGCTAAAAAATGTAAAGCAATGAGTAGAGCTGTAATGAGTTCTCCAGCAAACCAGGAGCATGGGTAATATGGTATAGGAAATGAGATACCACCAATTCAGATGCATTGAACTGGAAGTTTCTGGGCTAGGAGGAAATGATGTTTAAATAAGGCTGAAACTACCTTAAATTCAAAGTGTCAGGCTACCCTTAGGAGGCATGGAATCCCTTCCCTCTGATGGCATTAAAGCAACCATCCTTGGTCAAATCAATATGGTTCAATATAACACTGAAGTCTATGGCAATCTTCACATTTTCCAAAACCCACCTTAAATACTTTTCCAGACTTACTTCTCGATCTGATTTCCTGATTTCTCCTGTAATGCTGCTCTTAGATCTGTTAAGAAATTTCCGTGTTTTCTCCCCAGGTTTCCTTTTAAAATGTAGGATGTAGGGTGCTAATTTAGGCCAAGAAGACATTAGCACCGTTGTCCCAAACAAATCTGATTCCTGGTGGTTTTTGTTTTGTTTTAAGAAATTCTGATTATAAACACCAGGGAGCTGAGATATTTTTATTCAGGCTGGCTTTGGGTTTGTAAGCTGCTTAGCTGTTTTCACTGGGTTCTTACCAATATCAACCCACCTGAGCATCACGTTTAGCAGGAAAGCAGCTGGGGCTATGGAGTCTATAACAATCCAACTTACTTTTCTTTCTCTTTTCTAGCAAGCATTAGTTCAAAAGCTTGATCCCGACCATCAGCCTACATCAGTGACCATGGCTCACAGCTGCTTTGCATCATTTTGCCCTTAAAGATGGTTTACCTGCAATGCCTCGAGAAGGCACTGTAAAAACATACATACATGTCAATAAAAGATATGTATCTATATCTACAGAATTGTCTCTGGAGAAGTCATTGTGCCCAAGGACACCATCCTTTGCAGATTTCTCAGCCTGGAGCTGGAGTCATGTAAGGCTACTGATCATGGATTTTTTTTTTTTTTAAATCATGATGAAAGATAAGTCATGCTGTCTGGTTTACAAGGAACTTCCCAACAATTGAGATAAAGGATTTCCTTTGAACCAGTGTTTTGATGTCACACAGCTCAGTAATGAATAGCCAATAGCAAAGGAGTCACTTAAAAAAATAAATAAAGAATTGTTGCTCAAGAGACAATTGATGAAGTGAAATTCAAGCTGTGTAAGTGGTTCAGTTTCTGGAACTCCTCTTTTCCTGAAGCTTGTATATATGCGTTGTTTTGAATTTATTTTTCCTTTCTCTCACCCACTCCCACAGAAATCATTGTGACAACTTTGGGAAGAAATAAATCTGGCTGCTAAACTGCTAACATACTATCATTCCACTTTCACTACTCACAGCTTTTAAACATTACAGAGGAATGATGGTTTGGAACTCAGGGAGCTTCCCCTCATAGTAACCGCTCAGATTTTTGCAAACCACCAGATAAATGGATCAAGCACACTAGTAATTTATTTTATTTCCCATTTGTAAGATATGGGAAGGATGGGGATTTTTGTTACTCCAGCATTTATGATAGTCCAGGGTGGGAAGGTTACTCACTGGATGATAGTTGTTACATTCTGTTATTGTTCTGCTGAAGTTTGGGCTCTGATTCACTTTTGGTGTTCTTTGTGTATTCTCTCTGTTCCTGTTGCCTTTAAACTGCTTTTTGAAGGATTGGAGAGTGGAAAGTATCTTCACTCAGAATTGAGCATTCTACAGATATTGAATGTTCCCTTTGATATTTCCCACTGCATGTAAGCACATACGTGACACAGAAAGCACTTTTAAAAGGCATTCCTCCTAGATCAGTGTTGTCCAAACTTGGCCACTTTAAGATGAGTGGATTTCAACTCCTTCTGGGAGTTGAAGTCCATTCATCTTAAAGTGGCCAAGTTTGGACAACACTGTCCTAGATAGTGGGAAGAAAGAAGAACTTTGACAGTGTTGAGCTGATGACATTCATGCTTTCCAAGAAGTGTGTGTGTGAGAAAGAGAGAGAGAGAGAGAGAGAATGGGAAAAAATATGCACCTGTGAACTGAGGCCCTGGGTCTGATTCTGGCTATTATTCATCCCACTGTGGAAATGCCATTCAGTAGTAAAAAGGACACCTAGCCGTCTCTTGCTATAAATATTCTATGTCTCTCCACAACTTTCTCAACACAAAACCACATGACTCTGGTAGCATATCAGGTAGCAACAGACTTCGGTGACAGTATCGGAATGTGTAAATAAGTGGAGGTGGAACAGGTTGGTAGACTCTCTCCAAGCAATGGGGAGGAAGCGAATATAGTTCTGTAATGCTCCGTTGAGGTTCCTTCCTAGTAAGTGACACCCAAAGAGGCTTAATGGCAAGGGAGGGATCATAGCTGGTCTGTCCTTGGAACAGGAAGCAATCTATGGGAAAGAAAGAGGATTTAATACTACAAAACTGTGGCTGGGTTCCGCCCAGCCTGATCTAGCTGAGAATGTTGTGCTGATGAGAAAACTAGGCTTGTACCAACCAGAAGGCTAAGAGTCTTATGTGAACACAACTCCTATAGTACAAGAAACAAGAGGATGCTAATGAATATTGCATCTGCTTTTCTCCCATCATGATTAGAAACATTAAGCTAATATCCAATGAAATCATATTATGGGTGAATGTGTATTTCTGAGCAATGGAAATGGTACTGGGCAGATAGTAAAACAATTATTCACTTTGAACCTTCAGTGTACTTCCATCCCAGCTACAACTTAATCCCCTCTTCTCCTTTAAATATGGCACATGCATATGAAGATATTTCACCCAAATACATCCAGAAATACTTAAGAAAATGAGTTTGCATAAATATGTGAGAGTTATCAAAGGATTTATAGTGTGCATATTAATTTATAATGCTTGCTTGCTAAAGCAATAGCTTTGCACATTTTTGTTTCTGAATATGGCAGTATGGGACCAGATGCTGAGTTCCCATTAAGATTCACAAAGCAGTTGGACCCGTTGAAGATAAAGCTTATGATAAAAGGTTCTTGTAGTTCTTACAGTAGACAGACAGATCCTTATGGGAAATCTACAGGTCATTAAGATGAGAGCAATCTGCTACCTTTTCATATGCTACCTTTTCATATGGGGGTTCCATTCTTGTCTCCTAGAGTTAATAATTGATTGCATATTAATTTAACTCAGGAGCGATGTGTTTTATTCTGAAGCTGTCGATTGTAGTGTCTTTTTATTACGGTTGTAACTGCTGCAAAGATCGGAAGTCACTTCTATAAATATCTTTTTTTCTTTTTTGTCTTTTGCTATCTTTCACTTTTTCATTTATTCTTTATATCTTTTTCTCCTTTTCCATTTTCCTGTTTAAGTTTCTGTAGCTTTTTTTAATCTTATGTAAAATTCTTTCAATAAAAATTATGATGGTAGTGTCTTTCGAAAAAATGCTGAAGTGCTTATACAGCCCAGTACATGATTCTACGTATAACCATAACAGCGAAAAAAGAAAAGGACGTTATTCTTGATCTGCTAGTTGATGCTATTTCTGCAGAACAACTGTCCCCAATCTGTGAACCTCAGATACCAAAGGTATTCTTCTTGGTACTTCCTGCTACCCACTCCACCATCTTTTGTTTGAAGAAGACTTAAAGAGGAAAAAATCCAGCCAAAAGTTTGATAAGAAATCAGGATGTGTTCATGGATCCCTTTAAAGTCCATCAAACTGCCATTATTCTGTTTCTGTAATTCAGATTATGTCCATGATGAAATAACTATAATTTGGAGAATCACTTACCATTCTAAACAGCAACAGGCCTCTTGGGAATTAGTAGCTACAGAAAGAAGCAAAAGAAAAAGCTGTATAGATCTAACTTCAAGGAGTTATTGGAAGCCTGTTTTCACCCGTTCACTATCAATATTCAATCTGAGCCTTTCATTTTTCTATTTTGGAAGGTTAAGCATGGGAATAAAAAATCTTCATTGCTGTTTAATCATTGCAGGAAGCGATCAACAGTGGGTTCACATGCTACAAACGATGATATAGTTTCTTCAGCAAAGCCTGGATAAAACAAAACTGGCTGAATTCAAGTATCATTCAGAGCCATAAACCACTATTTACAAATGGCTAGGTTCACACACCGCAGTACGCCAATACCAAATAAACAATATTATGGCTTAAGGCAATCTATGAACCCATAATAGTTGGGCTTGTGCAGCATATTTAATCAGGTCGCTTAAAAG